ATGACACACCCTTATCTTAACTTGGAGCTTTTATCTTCTTTTACACATTAATAATCACTACTAATGTATAAAATTAGACTCCTAACACGCACCCTAAAGTAGCCAACTTTAGAGATATTTCATTAGGAAATTTGGATAAAATAGCATCACACTATTTTAAAGAATTACTCAAAAGAGTAAACAAGGTTTTTAATTCAATAATCTACTTCTGTTACAATGGCCTCATGGCTGAAGTATTTATACAACAACAAATAAGGAAAAATACAATAAAGGAAATTTCCTACTTCTTTCCTAAAAATCAATGATTAATGTCCTTCCATGTGAGCTGATTTTCCAAGATGCTTCTCCTGATTTTTGGCTGATCTTCCTTGGATTTATTTAGGGAGAATTTCGTGCATATAAGGAAGAAAACAAAGGGGAATCACGCTTTAGACTTTTGTGAATAAAATGCAAAAACAGCACTATTCATTCAATGACTTTGTTTCTGAATTTTGTTCCTTTGTTTCAAAAGTGATTATGCTTTTGCTTTGTGAAACCAAAGACTTTATTCTTTGTTGAAAGTCAGGGGATAATTGCAGCTTTATACCCAAGCTTAGAAAAGGCAAACAAGAATTGAATAACTTTGAGTTTCAAGGTTCAGGGATGTAGAATAATCGATTAATATCTCTGGGTAATCGATTAGCAAGATTTGGTTCCAAATCGGAAATATTCAGAGATGCCCAATAATCGACTAACACTGAAGCACAATCGATTAACACGGCTTGCACCAAAACTGGGTATTTTTCAGAGTACACCGAGAATCGATTATGAGTTTGAAGATAATCGATTGTTGGAGGTTGCTAATTTGTGACAAGGAATCAGAAGGATAGAATAGTCGATTATCAGTTGTGTATAATCGATTATTCAGGCTTTCAAGATCAGGATGGGAAGAGAAAGAAGGAAAGGCATTATTTGGATAAAAGGATTTGAAAAGAAACAAACAAAGGTTTTAAAAGATAACAAGAAACTAAGGTTTGACTTGTCTCCCTTTGATTTCATTTTTTACCTGGAGTTAAAAATTGATGGGAAAGACTTTATTTTGAATTAAGGAAAAGAAAGAAGACTTTTGGATATGTTGGGAGAGTTTGGGTTTTGGTGGAGTCATCCATGGGTACATCAACTTCCCCCACCTTGATGGCCGAAAATACCACCCAAAACCACCCCCAAATATCCAAATCAAACCCAAGTCCTTCCCCCTTTTTCTTCTACCCTGGCCGAACCCACACACCCTCACAACACCCCATCACATTTCAAACCACATGCTAAAACCACAAACCTTTTTCTTTTCCCTGAATGGCTGAAAACTAGGAGCCAAAACCCAACCTATTATTACCCCAACATGTACTAGCAGTGGTCCCCTTATGTTCCCCAACCAATGTAACGCCCCAAAATGTACCCTAAAATTTATTGAATTAAATATCCAATTAAACAAAAATTTGTTTTGATTAAAATAAATTATTGTTAGGCTTTGGGCCGAAATAAAATGTGTTTTGATATCCAATATCACAATCAGGATAAATCTCATAGAGATAAATCCAATTAGTTGACTATTTGTGTGATCTTGATTGGAAACCTGTGTAGAGACCCAAATTAAGAATAAATGAAGAAATTGTTTTATAATGTGAACTTTGAAATGATTTATTGAAATAAATCATGGAAATAAATAATATGAATTGAATATGAGCACCTTTTTGAGTAAAGGTCAAACAATTCAATTTTGACTCTGTCAAAGTCAAACACCCAAAAATATGATGTCAGAAAAAGTATAACGAATAAATATAAAAATTATATCGTTGGATTGAGTTTAATTGTACGATCGCAACGGTGCAAACGGATTTCAATTCGGAGAAAGTTGGACCAAAAAGTGTTCCCCGGGACCAATTTAGTCCCAATTAGGGACTTGCGTCTGTAATCCTAGCAATCGCCGCTCCCTCCACCGAGACGCCAGAACAGGGAAAAGGATGTCACTACACCTGTGTCTTCTTCCTCTCCTCTCCACTATATAAACCTCTCTAAACTTCACCATTTTTCACCATTCTTCTTCCAAGAGATAGCTGAGAGTATAGAGAGTAAAGTATTGCTGTCAAGAAAGCTTGCTATCGCCGGAGCAGTGAGATAGAGTCGCCGGAAGTTTCGCCGAAAAATCGTCAAAACCTTCCTTACGCTTCAAGGTAAGCCCGTTGATATATCTAGTGACTAGAATGTTCGTATAGATCGTTTCTACGTTCATAAATGGTCGTTTGGTTGAGTTTTGTGTTTGACGTGCTTGAAGAACCAAGAATCATAAACCATGAAATTGATGTTAAAACTATGAATTAATGATGCCAAAATGATCTATGAACCTTGGAGAACATCTCTATATAGTTTCGTTGAAGTTCGATAACTAAAAACGATATTTCCGAAATTGGACCCGAACGAAGAAGAAGATGAACAGTGGCTGAAACACCACTGTCTGGATCGATCCAGGGGCTTGGAT